TGCGGCGGGCGGTGGCAGCAGCAAACGAACTTCTCCGGGATTTGAGCTAATTGCTTTCACCGACCTTCCCGAGCCCTTTGATGGGAAAGAAAAGGAGGGTGGATGCAGGTGGGTGTCAGGGAGGCTGGGTCATGTGCCGCAGCTTTGGGGGACCCAGGGACGGCGGGTCCGCAGCCACCCAGAACCTGCCGGGGATGCTGGCGAGGCAGGTCCAGTGTCCCCGCAAGGACAGCACGGTTAGGTCTCTGGCTGGGTGGGTACATGCCCCGGCAAAGGCCGCATTAGTGAAGGCTGACTTGCACTGTGTCTCGGGGATCCGTAACACAGTGACCTGGTAAAGCAACAGGGAAGCAATTGTCTGTGGCAGAGGAGTTTTGAACTTCTACTGATGGCGGCCCAGGTGAAGCTAGAGAAACAGTCCAAGTCCAGTGGCACGAAGTGCCAGTGCATTTACTGGAAGTGGCGTGGCAGGGCATTCCTTTCTTGTTTTAATCATTCTGCATGCATAGTACTAGTCTCTGCAGCTTCAGATCTTAGGTCACGTGTCTAACTTGTTCGTCGGTAAAGTTATCTTCACCAACACCCATTTTGAAGGGCTACTGTCAACAAAGGGTAAGGAAGTGCTTCAGTGTCTGCAGCCCAGGGATCTCCACTGGTACAAACACGTGAGGCCAAGGAGCAGCCAGGGCAGCAAGGTACTGGGCAGAGGCAGCCCTGCTCTGAGCCCAGAGGTCAGATAGTGGGAATCAGGCAGCTGGCAGTAAGCCCTGCCCTGCCTGGCTGTGAAGATCAGATGTAAATTGCTTCCTCAGCCCCAGTTCTCACCTATTTCAGAGAGAACTCACTGGATTTCACGTTCAAAAATCTCTTCACGGTGTGGTTACATTCCTAATGAATGCAGTTTGCTTCAGGGTTTGGTAGGTTAAAATCAGATTTTGAAGTAAAAGCTATTCAAATTCTGTTCTGACTCACTATATAACATGTAGTAAACTTTTCAAAGTGATTTAGAGGGTTATATCCAAGCCCCTGCACAAACCACCAGAGCATCGTTAAATACAAAGAAGGATTTTCATCTACTAACAGGAGTGTATATTCTCTAATTCTGTATAGGAGCTGCAAAAAACTAGCAGAAATATCAATCTAGCCAAGTATCTTAGAACTATTTAGAATATAGATTAACATAAAAATACTCTTATTACTCGCCTCCCAGAGAATAAATATAATTTGTATTTTCCACTTGTTTCAGTGTTCCTGAGAAAGACTGTGGCACTCTCACATGCTTTTTTTTTAATGTTATTCTACTACTTATAAATCAGTAAACTTGAGCAATATTTGATATACTAATTTGATTAAATGAGAATATGAAAGTTTGTTGAATGAGACCTCAATTTTGCAAGCAAGTTCATGTTGCATTTAAGTAGAAGCAGTTGCCAAAATAGTGATACAAAATAGTAATGGCCTATGTAGTTATCTTACTTTATGCTGTAAAACAAGCCACAAAACCACATACCACCCAGAGATACACTTTAAAGGAACAGGCCGTCTTAAGACAGTGAAGTGTTCTTTAAATGTTTTGTCATTGTCTGATACAACTACAGAGCAGGCAGTTTTCTGGAAATTTGGAACACAAACCTTTGAAAACAGGACTCCCTCATGACTGTTCTGACCCTTCTTTCTCATTTCCCAGACAACTGATGCACACATTTAAATGTATACATATATTCAGCCATAAAGCTATGGCATGACCCGACTCAAATTAAAAGTGTAAGGGCCTCAAGTCTGGAAGCATTTGTCAACTCACATTTCCACAGTTAACTGCCTTTATCCTTGAGACAACTCACTGAACAAAGAGAAAATGTCAACAAGAAAACTGAATTGTGTTACAAAAGGAAAAAGGGAAAGAAAAAAAAAAGGAAAGAGTTGCTAAATTTCTACACATCTTATTCTCCCTTAGCCACAACACAAATGTGAGGTGGGAGCTATTAGTATTGCTCCAACTCTCTCAAATTCTATAGGATTTATTAGGTGTTCATTAGTACAGTACTCCTAAAAAAAACCAAAACAAACAAAATAACCAACCCTACAGCCACCACATCCTAGTACGTTGCCATAATTTGCATGTATGTCAGCTGAGATGTGAAATAGTAATGGATTGAATGTGGATTGCAACTGTTTTAAGCCCCTGGACAGTTACTGAGGCATCTCACTCTCACAGGCCCAGAACACATGCATCTCACTTTAAACATAAAGAAGATCAGGATGCTTCTAGTTTTGGGGCAATACCAACTCCCGTTGGTAGTTTTCAGCAAGTGGAACTGAATTCTTTTTACCCTTCTCATAAGAGATTTTAGAATATGAAATACTATTTTTAGTGGTTATTTTGGTGCCAACTATCAACTTCTTCCTTGGTGGGAAAAAAAGAGATGGGTGAAACATTATACTGGAGATACTGGAAGCAGAAATTACTTATCATTGTAAAAGGATTAGAGCAGACAATCCTTTTAATAAAGTATGAAATTAATTTTTGAAAAAGCCATCCTGACAGATTTAATTCCAGAGAGATGAATTGCATTGAAAACTGTATTAAAATGTAACTAACTCTAGCAACCATTTTTTCAAAAGTACCAGAAGAAAATAAAAACTTAGAAAATTAAAGTTTTTCTCAGGTCCCACTGGGTAATAAAAATTTTCCCCTCCCCCTTTTTCTTAACACTTAGAAAGCCCCTAATGAACTCATGCACATTGCCCCATATGACAAATGTGGACTGGGGGAAAAAAAAGCCAGCAAGATCTGAAGGCATCAGCCTTCTCATCCATAGGCATCTATGGATTATAAATGGAAAAAGTGGTTTGCTAAAAATAGAGTGAATTTTAAATAAAACAGGAGAAAGCAGAAACATATTTTTTTTCCTCAGGGTTAAAAGCTGGGAAGCTTTTAAAAGTCCTGGATGCAAGTAACGTTTTCACACACTTCCAAAGTTGAGAATAGATCCCCAAAAAAGTAGGTCTGCTGAAACTTTTCAGTTGGATGAAGCTGACCCGTTATGAAGAATACTCTGATATGGAAAGAACTGGAGGCCTGGGAATCCTCAAATCATACTGGTTTTTGAAGAAAATACAGGTCCTGTCACTATGTCCTGGGACCGCAGATGAAAACAAGTTTTCTAAATCTCCTTAGCAGATGCCTGTTGGTGAAAGGATTTTGGAAGACTGTAGAAGCAAAGGAGAGGGAAGCAGAAAGGTCTTTTAAAAGCCTGGGCAAAAGGAGGGAAACAAACAAACAAACAAAATAGCAATGCAAAGCAAGGATTGAAACTAACAAATTTGGGCTTATGTGATCATTTTTATGGATTCTGCTGAGGTTAGATATCTCTAATATTATTACCATTGACTTCTCACTTCAATCTAAGTCTTCAGTTTAGATACAACAACTGTTTTTTAGGTTCAGATGAGAAAAACAAAAGACAGACTCTCTGAGTCATTTCAGGCTGAGAACATACAGCTGCAGTTTGAATGTACACATCACAAAAAAAGCACCTATCACTCCTGCCGTTGTGAAAGCCCCTGAAGTGCTTTCTTTTCACTATTAGCACTTGCTGCTCAGTGATAACAAGGAAAGCAATTAAGGTATGCACAGGAAACTGATTGTTAACTTTTTCCCCTGTAAGACATAACAGAAATTCCCTACAGTAAATTGATTGCTTTAAGAGGGTGCAAATCCAGGAGGAGAAGAAAAGTTTTGAAAGCTATAAAATCTCTACGCTTATCTCATTGTACAGGAAGGTGATACAAGATGTCCTGCAAGCAGAACCAATGTAGGTCTTTGGTGCCCCTTAAATGTAAAATTCTGAGAAGTGGTCCCCACTTCTTGTAAGTGTAAGTTCAGGAAGTTCATCTCCGTGAGTGAGAGGGGAGGGCTTCCATCGAAAAGTGTTACATTTCTGTTCCCCCTCGCTGTATCAGCATTGCTTGTTTATGTACAAGTACAGGCAAGAGGCAGAGAGGTTTGATCATGTGAGGGAGGGCTGCATCTCTGCACACACTGTGTTTGCAGGCGTTGAGCGAACACAAAAAGAAACTCTGCTAAATTTTACTGACTAATAATTTAGAAAGATATTCCCTCCTTTCACTATAGCCCATTTTCTGCACAATTCTCTGGATGTTTTCCTTTTCTGTGCATGCTCTGTGCTTCTCCAGTGCCGTCCAGTTTCTGAGTCGTGCTCAGGAGCCATTTGTGGGTGCGTTAGGGCTATGGTTATCTTCGCTCTCCCTCTTTACTGTTGCCCAGGGTCTTTTCATTTATTTTTTATTTTCCCTCAAAAAAACCAGCTTGACTTCTCTGATCTAGAAAGCAGAAATTTGGGTGTTGGAGACAGAACGCAGATGTCCCTGTGGGTGCAGAGCTTTTCCAGGTGTGGCTGTGAGTGCCGGTGAGGAGGAGGGTGCTGGGCAAGCACCACCAGGCTGGGACGTGTTCCTCAGAGCATGGGCTGTGGCATTGGAGCACAGCAGGGAGCAGGTGGTGGGGCTGGTTGCCACGCTCCTCACCAGCCCCGCTGAGTCACAGTTCCTCTGTCAGCACAGGGAGGTGAAGAAGCCATTTCCCCATCCACTTCCTCACTTCACAAGCGGCATTTGCTTTGTCTTGCCACCTTTCTGGTGCCGTCGGCTTTCCTGAGTGGGCCAAAGATCCATCATGCTGCCTCAGGACTTCCCCACCTCAGAGACTGCCTCGTTTCTGGACAATTCTGCTGGCTGGGGCATCACGGTGTCAGGTCAGTCAGGGTGTCCTGATCCTCCAGCTCAGAGAGCCAGGATGAGAAATGTCACCCTGGTGTCATCCTACAACCGTCCACTCCCTTGGGCCAGTATGACACATGGCAGAGGAGCAATGGAGATGTGGGGTTTCACGCTGCTTCAGGCGAAACCAAGCCGGATTGGATGCATGTCTCTAAAAAACAACTACTAAGAAGTAGCCAATCAGATTTTCTATCCCAGTTTGTAACAAGACAGTTCTCCCAGGCAAAAGGAAAACAAAAAAAACCTGCTTTGGCACATCCATTTGACGGCTTCAGTTTACACCTTAGATTAATTTAAGCTTTTAACATCATTACACAGGGGTTTGGCGAAAAGCATCCTCAAAGCTTAGGCAGCAAAGGAAGAGAGTCAGAGCACTGAACAGAGGAAATGACAGGCTGAGCATCCATACCCACCATTTCTCAAATGCAAAACTGCTTTTCAAGCAGCTAAAGCTTCTTCTCCAGGTGCAAAGAAAGGTCTTCTTCATTTCAGAGTAGTACCTAATATTATATACATTTTGAAACAGATGGCTGCTAAGTAAAGTAAATTATTTTCACCTTCCCATCTCTGAATATACTAGAGGGTCAAAATAAGGACCTACTTATAGAAGTCAGCAGATACTGGTCATATTTGTTATTTCAATTGACTAGCCACAGATAACACTTCCTTCACTTGAGAGCCCAGTTTGAAATCCAAACCTGTTTTTCAAAAAGTTAATTAAGATAAGAGTTTTCTGCATCTCTCTAAAGTTACAATCAGCATCCAAGCAGTTTCACGCAAAGTCATGAAGATTGAATTAATGAGCCATTAGATACCACCTTGTGGTAGGAATAAAAAAGTGTAACAATAGAAATAACCGGTCCTTAGAGAATTCCTTAAATATGTATGTCCCTTGTTGTTAGCATTAACAGAAACAAATTTGTGTTAAGCTTCAATTTGAAGTGTTCAAAGATGACTAACCATTCAGAATTAACCTCTTTGAAATATCCAAGAAAAATTAAATTATTCTAGTCAAGATTTTTTGCATGCTGATTTAAAATGTGAGTGAATCTGTGATCAGAAGGACTGTCAGTCCACACAATGCACCATTATTTTGAAGATTTGGCAGTTTCTTTGCCTTGCTCTTCATTTCCATTTCTTTACTCTTCATCTTCATTCCCTCCTTTCTGAAACATGTACCCTGCTGCCTCTCTCTTTTACAACTTCACCTGGTTTTTTGTTTTGCCGAGGACAGCAACACTGCTCCATTCCCAGGCATCATTTATCTCCCTTCCTCAGTATCCCTCCTGGTGTATATCTGAGTCTTTTGTAAAATACAAAATACTGTTTCTTTAAGGTATTAACATATAAGCTGAGCTCTACATTAACTCTTCTTGCTCTTTAATTAAACTCTTCAAGGCAAGGACTACCTTAATTTTTTTCTGTTACAGCTCCACAAAGATAGAAAATAACACATATGTAAAAAAAAAACAACTGTGAAAATGTTCAAGTCGCTCCAAACTATCAGCAGAAACTGGGATAAGGAAGCCTGTCCTCAGGCTGTCTTTCCTAATAATATATCTAGGAGGCAATCTAGTTCTCCAGCCAAGAAGCATTACATAACTCCATTGTACAGATATCTCATACTTAGTGCATGGAAAATATATACAGATTTGCCTACAACCTATAGCCAAGAGGCAGGCAATAGTGGATGTAGCCTTCTCATTTTCCGACCTTAATGCCAAAACAAACAAACACAAGACTTGGCATCTGGTCCACAGTGCTTTCTTATTACCAGGAAAAGAGGTGGGACAGGGACAGCTAGTAAAGCTGACTAGTGACAAAAACAAACAAACAAAAATAAACAAACAAAAATAAAACAAAAAACCCCAAAAAACACCCTAACACCATAATTTAACTTGACAGCATATTCAAATAAATGCATCACAGTTTAAAATAATATGAAAGGAGAATGCTACTTCTTTCAGGAGCATATAGGCATCATCTAGTAAGGAGATAAATATTTGAATTGGAAAACAAAGTGAGAACAAGATCATTTTAGGAAGCAGGTATTTTTGGCAGAGATTAAAACATTTCTCTTCTATTTTTCTTTGAAGATGTCTTAACTGTTCAGTTTGCAATCAACAGTAGAGTGGCAAGAAATTAAGATTGATATCATTTTAATTAAGGAAGTTCTTGATGAAAGATTCAGCCACAGTGATGTAAGGAAGAGAAAGCTCTTAAATAAAATAGTGAGAGTTTCTTTGCTTTGCGCTATATTTAAGGATATGGCATAGTCATTTACAATTCATATTATTGTTCAAACAATTAATACCTGTAGTCATAGGGTTGGCAGAATTAAATCTGTGCCCTTATTGTCCAGTAACTGTTCTGAAGTACTGAAGAACTTCAAAAATGGAGTGAATATCAATATGGTTAGCAACAGAGTAACGGTACTGATGCCACTCTGTGATAGTAGCAAAACACACCTACAGTTCTTGAGAGATTTTTTGTATAACTTGCTCTTCTTCTTTCCTAGGTGGTTGTCTTAATTGCTGAATCACAGTGCAAAAATTATACTGAAGGCCTAATACACATAACAGAAAAAGTAATTACAGGGAGGATCATTGCTAAAAGAGAAATTAAGTGCAACCAGGAGGAATACAATTTAGGCATCAAGTGTTGCAAGAAATGTGATCGTGGTGAGTATCACTATAAGACTGTGTTGAAAAGTCTTTAAGAGTGGAAACCACAACATGCACAATCGCTCTCTGCTGAGATAGCCAAGTGGCATGCTGTGATTTCCTGCATGCAATGCTTCATTCTAGCTGTAGCTTTTTCTATCACAGGACATCAGACACTTCTAAAGTATTTATTGAGCTCAATGCACCAATACCTTTACACTACAGATAGTAGTTCTCGCATAACATGCTTGTCAGAAGAGAGCTAAGAATTACATTACATTTTTGGAAGAGGTTTAAAAAGTGCAAGTACAGGCTTTTGCTTGTGAGACTCCATATATTAATGGGTTTTCCAGTTTTGCATGTACAGTTCTGTTTGGTGTGTCCTAAATTGGACAAAGAGGAGGGATAATCAGAACCTGTGTATACTACATTCCTGAAGAGTGTACCTGTATGCATAAAGAACATACATTCTGTGCTCTTTGTAAATCAAAAAGTATTAGGGATTAAAAATGAGGTCTAACACAAGTCTTAGAGCTGATGGCTTCTGACCAAAGGTATTGAAAATCTTAATTCTTTTTTTTCTGTCTCTGCAGGTTTTGTTAAAAATATCAGCTGCCCAACAGATACTAGCAAGCACTGTGTTCCATGTCAAAGTGGAAAGGAGTACATAGATCATGTCAACGATTTGGAAGAGTGTTTGAGATGCTCTTCATGTGACAGGACATTTGGTACATCTATAGAAATAACAACTCTACCATTTACTCTCTTTTGATACACAATTTGACTGAAAAGTGTACACAAGTTCCAATTAGTGGGTAGCATGCAAATCAAAATGTTTTAGTGGTAGTACATGAAGGAATTTATTACAAAGTCACAAGTTTATCCTGCAGTTCCCTTTCATCAGGCAAAAAGTAGGAAGGATAATAAAAGTTACGCTGGTCTGTCATTTCTCCTTATATCTGCTATTGCTCAGCCAAAGCAGTCCTTGCAAAGCAGACCCTATGCAAACTGGTTACAGTCAAGTAAAAAAAAAAAAAATCTCCCTTCTTCACTTCTTCTATTTTAAAGAGGAGGGATGTTGTAAGAAGCAGGAAAGGGAGAATTCCTAATAGTTTATTTTATAGTCTTTCCTGTAATTCATAATATTATTCAAAATTGGTGGAGCTGATAGAGTGACATCTTTTATAAAATCAAGATGAAGTGTGGGTTAGACAACCAAATTATGGGACCATGAGGTATCCCCTATTGGGTCAGACCAGTGACCCACCTATCCTAGTATTCTGCATTCAGTAGTTTTAAAGAGGAGGGATGTTGTAAGAAGCAGGAAAGGGAGAATTCCTAATAGTTTATTTTATAGTCTTTCCTGTAATTCATAATATTATTCAAAATTGGTGGAGCTGATAGAGTGACATCTTTTATAAAATCAAGATGAAGTGTGGGTTAGACAACCAAATTATGGGACCATGAGGTATCCCCTATTGGGTCAGACCAGTGACCCACCTATCCTAGTATTCTGCATTCAGTAGTAGAGGCAAGAGATTCTATTTAGAGAAAATACAAATAAACCTTCCTACTTTCTGTGGGTTGTTCCCTGCGAAGTCTACCAGCATCCACAGGTGTGGGAAAAGATAATAGAAGGTCCTCTCCTATATAGTCATTTTAATATCCGATTACGAGCCTTTTTTGCATTAAACTTCTGGGGGACATTAGGTTCCCAAATTTCAATACCTGTTGCATGAATACCAATAATCTATTTTTTTAAATTATTTATTTATTTATTAGATCTACTAAGCTGGTCTCCTACCAGTGCCACCAGCTATCTTGTAGTTGTAGTTGTAATATACATAGATTTAGGAAATGGTAATTCTTTGTTCCTCGTATTGAAAATCAAGTTTTGTGACTAGCGGGACAGCTCTTAACTGCAATATGATTGTACACAGATCATCTGCTGGAATATCAACCCTTAGTGTTTTCCCCTCCCTGTAACACTTCCAGATGCACACAAAATTTTTCTCTGTTTAGCTGCTATAATAAGAAATTTTTGGTGGGAATGAAGGTGAGTACAACAAAACAATTCAGCATTTTGCACAGTGCCACAAAGGAAACTATTAGTTAAACTGAAGGGAGAAGAAAGGGTAGTGGGATGACTAGTCACATTATCCCATGGATCATAATGTGGTTGAAAAGAAGTTAGTAGGAAACATTAGTCAGGAAAAAAATTACCACGGAAGTTTCTTTAGAATCAGTCAAAGGATCATTCATGTGCAGTATTTTCATGAATGGCTTCAGCCATTTTTACAGTAGAGCTTAATACATTTTGGAATATAACACCTTTTCCTGTGACAACAGGGCACCTAATGTGATAACTCAAAAATTTGTTTCTATTCCTATATGCATATGAAAATAGCTTTCATAGTAGGAAGATACTTAATTTTTAGTGCAGAAATATTTTTTCATAGATGGAGGTAGCTTCATTATATACTCTGAAGACAGAAGAAAATTAATTCATTTGTTTTGGTACTTAATCAAGAATTATGTTAGCTTAAAACAGAGCGTGGAATTTCTTGTCATTGAAGATCTTCAAAAAGAGATTACATTTCTCCATCAATGAGAATAAAGAACCTGTCTCTAACATCAAGCAGCGAGGTTGGCTATGTGTGTGATCTCCCGAGTACGCTTATGAGGAGAAAAGCTGACAACATTTGGCCGTGCCAAATGAGTCCTCTTCTAGCAAGTATTTTATTGTATGTTCAGGTTTTTGAGCTGTTGGCCAGCAGAGCTGTCTTTGCCATGTCCATATTTCCAGTACTCAGGCAGCAGAGCTCTGTATAAAAGCCAGGTCATTCTTAAAATTTAACCCATCAGTGCCAACAGTGACAGAGCTAAAACCACATAAGTCTAAGGACAAGATCAGAGGCCTGCTTTTATGGCTACTTTTTCAAATTAACAAACTATAAGAAATTTCTTTTAGGGTTGGAGGTTGCAAAGAACTGTACCCCAGCTCAGAACACAGAATGCGTCTGTGCAAAGAACCATTTTTGCAATTCCTCTCTACCATGTACACACTGCGATGCATGTACCATGTAAGTTTGTGTCTTCATGGTTAAATATTAAATTGTTAATATCATATGTTATCACACTTTTTTCCATCCAGTTTCAAGACAGGTTATGCATACTAGTTTTCCTTTGCACTTAACTTGTTGAGCTGACTTAGCTCAGTCAACTTCACTTGCATCTGTGGAGGCTTTTCAAAGGCATGAAGAAAAACTTATATCTCCTCCAAGTCTGTATATACTTTTTAAACAAGTGTAATTAAGTGTCTGAGGTTTCCTCCCGTTTTTGGTGACCCAGTATTACTTCCAGAAAGTCATTTCCACACCTTTTTCCACTCCCTTACCTTTCCATATTATTTTGATACCTGTTAAATTACAAACTCCAACATCTTGATACATGAAATATTTAGCTGATAAAAAGTGTTCGAAGATTTTTATTTGCTCTGTTGGCAGAATTTATCAAGAGAGAAACAAGTCCTATAATAATTTTTGGTTATGTTTTCTGCAGATGTGAAAGCGGCATAATTACAAAACAATGTACTTCAACTTCAGACACTGTGTGTGGAGCCCAAGGTATATTTGAAAACCTAGCATGGTCTAGCATCTGCTGTATTTTTAGACACTATTGCAATTGTATTGTTCTACACAGCAACCTGTAATGATTCCTGACAGCTAAGGGTATCATATCTACTGGGCCTTGTACTGTCCTGTGGAGCATGATTTCTGTTTTCCCTTGATCACTGTGCAGATGTAGTTGCCTTTTTAGGGCAACTCATGATAGGCAAGACTTTAACAAACAGGCAGCTTCTTGTCATGATTTGACTCTGTATCAGCAATTGAATCAGTAACAATAATGCTCCTGATCTCATCCCACCCAGGTGGGGAAAGGAGAGAGAGAGAGAACAAGGAGACAGACTTTCTTGATTGAAAACTAAACTACACAGGTTTAATTAAATAATAATTGAAGAAAATATGTATAAATATGTATAGGTATGTACAGGAATGTGCAAAACCCTATTGCCTCCCCCCCCCCAGCAACTCCTGGGGCACTGTCCTGAGCTGTGAGCAGTTGCGAAATGTCCCAAAGCGCTGCTGGAGAGAGCAGCACAGCAGACAGGAGCTGAGGGGAGAGTTATGACTGTCAGGAACACATAAGCCTAGGGATCAATGGTGATGGACAGATGGGAGTCCTCCCTGGATGCCAACCATGAATGGAAGATAAGGGAAGAATTAAAAAGGAAGGGGCTTGACTTTTGTGATCCCTGACTTTATATATAGGATGGAATACTGTGGTCAGTTTTGCCATCTATCTAGTCCACTCTTCCCTATGGGATGGTTGCAGATATGACTCTTCTGCTCCTTCAGTGTCCAAAGCAGCAAATTCAACAAGCAGAGCAAAGTGTCCTTGGTCTCAGCAGTATCTATAAACATTCAGACATTATCAATCCACTAGCTGGTAAATTTGCTGCTTAAAACAGATGTCACTGAAAGAGAAAAAAAAAAAAAAATAAAGAAAATAAAATTGGCCTCATCTTGGCTTAAACTAGGACACTTCTGCCATTAGGAGATAAGAAAAAGGCTTTTATAATCTGTTGCAATCTTATTTAAAACTTAGAGTGTGTTGCTGTGTTTCATTTCTTGATGTAAATTTCATGTCTTGTTTCCAGAATGCCATGGTGGGGCACTGCTTTGTTAGTTCTAGTTCTATCACTACTGTTAACACCTGGAGTAGTATTTTGTAAGTGTTTCCCTATTCCTTATTCCTATTGCACTCTGAATAAGATATTCAGCTGCTTACTCAGCTGTCTTATATTCTTGGAGCCCAGAGGAAAGATATACTGTCCTGGATTTTAAAAATGCTTTTTCGTTTCAGACTGCAGGAAAAAGAAGTGTCATACTAGCAAGCAGAACCCGGATGAAATAGTCTCCGAAGAGCCTCCTTACGTAAGTATTGTTGCTTAGATCACAGAAAACTCAGCTTCATGCAAGGAACTTTGTTCCATTTAAATTACACTGGGACTCCCGAAGCATGTGCATGGCTCTCTTTTATGACATTAATGAAGTAAATTTCTCCATAAGGAATCTTATGGGAGAAGTATGAGAAACCTTGTATTATTTCTTCAGGATTTGTTGATGTCATTCCTAAGTTATATGACCAAGATCAAAACTTCATAAATCATCAGGCCTCCATTGGCCCAGATTACCCGTCCCCATGCATACTTTTAGGCAATAGCAGTCATGAGGTGATTCCCTAACTCGAAGAGGTCTGTCTGTCCAATCCAACTCCCTTGCTTATAGAACAAGGGAGTCATGGAGAGAACAGAAATAAAATCACAGAAGTGTCATGGAATGTGTTTATCATCTTATATGAGGTTGGTGTTTTACAAAGCTTGTTTCTACTCATTTCTCTCTTGCTTCTCTTTTCAGACTGTACCTCTCATACCTACAGGTAAGAAACAAGTAACTTCTCCAAATTCAGTATAAGAAAAAAAAAAAAACAGACAAGTAAATCCTGTGCTAAAAAAGGGTATTTTTGTGTAGACTTAACCATCACCTAGAGCTGTCATTATAGCACAACAGTGAACACTTTATTAAAGAAATGCCAGTTCATATTGTGTTTATCCACCTAGAGCTGACAACAGTGAACACTTGATTAAAGAAATGCCAGTTCATATTGTGTTTATTAAGTCATTTAGTGGTGTCATGAAAGTTTTGCCTCAGGAGGAATTTCTGTTGCAAAGGAAGCAGTTTCTAATTGACAGCAGGTGAATTTCTGTTCTGCATGCAATACAGACACTAGGAGTCAGCAACAGGGATTCCTAATCGCATGGATAATTATGATAATAGTGTAGTTTTACTGCCAGCAGTGGGATTGCAGAAACACAAACCTGCCTTACGTTTATAGGCAAATCCACAATAGTAACACACAATAGGAAGGGAACATAAGCTGCAAGGCTATATCACAACAAAAGATTTGTCTAGTTTCAGGACCTTTCCCAATGCTCTTTTGAGCAAAGCAGGTACATGAGGCATGATCTGACTTTTAATGATAGAGTACAACAGAGCAGGTTACAGGGGGAACCAATATTCTTTTTTAAGTGGTAGAAAGCAATAAGGTTACAACCCTAGATGCATGAATTACCCAGAATTTGGTAGGAACATGTGAAAGCAGACTTGCTATATATTGTACAAAAATTACACATAAAATGTACCGAGTCATGAATGCCTGAAACTTAATCTGTTTTTTATCAGGAAAATATCAAGTCTGAATAAGATGACAAAAACAGTAAATATAATTGCCGAGAACATTAATTTCCTTTTATGCTTCTAGATGTTGACTTGAGCAGCCATGTTGCTGCTATTGTGGAGGAGATGACACTCCCACAAGTCAAGACGTTCGTTCGTAATCATAAAGTACCAGAACCCGTCATAGATCTAACTGTTCGGGACTACGCGAATGATACATCTGAACAGAAGATTAAGCTGTTTGAAGTGTGGTATCAAAGACACGGGATAAGAGGAGCCTATGGAACCCTAATAAGCAGCCTGAGAGATTTTAAAATGTGCACTGCAGCTGATAAAATCGAGGAAAAACTGAAGTCAGCTGTTTCCAGCTGTCAAGAAGGTGGACAGTCTTATAACAAGGACACTGAGCAAAGCAAAACCTGCACTCAGGAAAGCAGAAACTCCGATGATGACAGTGCTGAACTAAGTAAAACCTGTTCTGGTAGTCTGGAAGAGACATAGCATAAAGTCATTTGAAAAATATTTCTGACAGAATTTGTATTTTTCTTATAATAGCAAAGCTTTTAAATGCCATTTTCATTGAGAGCTTGATTCAAGGAAGTTACATGAACAAGGAATAATTATGATTTAGGTAGCAGTTTCTTTCCTGTAGAAAAAGCTTTTGCTTTTCTATTTTTATAGTTAAGAACTGGGAGGAAAATTTTTATGGCTTATTTACTAAAAGGCACAATGCAAGAATCCAGCTATAGGATTCACTACAAGAAGAAAGAAGTAGTAGTTGTTACTTGGAGAAAAAGGTTTAGTGTGTATATATGGCAATGCATTACTTAGTCAATGTAATGTTTTGTTTACATTAAAATTGCACGGTGTTGCAGTTTTTAAAGTGAAAATTCTGATGTTAGGAGTCTATGAAGTGTACAAGGAAGAATTCTTGAACAAAATAAAATTTAAAATATACACCTTGTTTAATTTTAATATAGGTGTTGCTGTATAATTAAATTCTACTCTGTTGTAAATGGGATTTCTCTGCTGTATAAAAGCACCTGTGTGTGTGTATACAGTCTTTTGTATATGTGTGTATATATATGCAAGTTTTCTATGCAAAAGCTTCAAATGCCAAATAAAAATTACTGTGTCACTTGTTCTCTGCAATGATTGCAGGCCTTTCCTAATGTTAAAATGCTTCAAAGAAGCAGGAGCTGAAGCAGCACAGCAGAAACATGATTTTTTTTGGAAGGCAGCCTCCACAAGCTTCATAGCTTCATAGCTTCATATACAAGTGTGCAACACTAGCTTTTCTAATGCAGCAACTGATACAATGAAAACACCATTGTCATTAAAAAAATAAATACACATAACACATGACTTATCTCTTTCCTTCTTATAGTGCAACTTACAGATGTCATTTTTAGGTTTTCTTTTACTCAGGTCAGTAAATCACAAAAAGAGAGTTCACTCTCCTGAAAAAGAAATGCCACCTTACCTGTCTTCCATCAGAGAGCACAGAGGGTTCAACTCTTAAATTCAAAGAACCAGTAGTGCTGGGCTGCTTTGCAGTGAGGCCTTACCTGCTCATACACCCACATATGCAAAGTCTCACAAAACCTTTCGACAGCAGAGGAGACCTAGGTGGACAGATTTGAATTTTCCCAGTCCCACAGTAGTTAAGATGACTTTCTTCTTTGGCTCTGCCATCAGTTCTCTAGAGATAATCTCCAGCCAGTATTAAGACTCAGCCAAAATAGGAGACCAACCTGGGCTTGCTCCCATCTGCCTGCCAGTTGGTATCAGTCTGTGGGGTAGGGTCTGATTGCTGCCACCTGGCCCCAGGGGTGTGGAAAGGGCAAGGCAGGCCTGGCAGCTTGACCCCAGGTGCAGGCAATCCACCCCTCCAGGCAATACTGGGCACCTGCAGGCCCCTGGGGCTGCTCCAAAAGCTCACATTGCTAAGTGAGGTGCCTGGAAGTGTAGTGTGTGGCCCTTGAAAATCCATGTATGGCTAGAAATCCATGTATGGCATGAAGCAGCAGCCTGAAAGTAAAAGCAAGACTTAGATCATTTTCAGAAACTTTAAGCCTTTCATAGACTTGACCTGTGGAAGGTCTGAAGGCCTTTATGTTATACAGCACTTCTCCAGGTCTCAAGCATCACATCCAAGCTAAACACGTGGGAAAGTATTCCACTACACTTTGAAGCCAATTTCTTCTAACCTTTCTGCATTTTCTAAGTGTCTAATCAATCAGCTTGTCACTACTATATTGCCAAATCCCCATACAGGGCTGTCTTTCAAAGGAAAACTTCCAGGTTGCTAGAGCTGAATGTTTTTATATCCATGCACCAGACTTAGGCACCCATGGACTGACTCAGGAATAACATTGTATAAATTATTTAGGTCTGTGCTGTATGTGTACAGATATGACCTGCAGTGACGGTGCTTTGTACATATATAGGAGAAAAATGTTTGCCTTTCAGAAAAGCAGCACAGGTGTGGTATAGGCCGTGCCATCTTTCCTAGGCTGCAGTTATGTAGAAGCACAGCCAAGAGAAGAAGGAATCTCTCACAAGCCCTCTCACTCTCAGAGTGAGGCATCCGGCCACCAGAAACCAAGGTCCACCTCCTAGGGCTGCCGTGGGTGAGTTAGTATAACTGAGTTGGACTAGGTAGACCTTAAAATGGAGGCATCAAATCTTATACATTTGTAGCAGTGAAGCAGAATGAGTAACACCAGAATTCCCCAACCTCAGCACAACGAGGATGGTTAGAAAAAAAAAAGTCCCTGAGCAATGACTCATATTGTCCTTAGGAGGTGTCTGCAAGGCTGAGCCCAGACTGCCATGAACTCTGGTGTTTAGCCTACAAGACATTTTTTTTTTTCTTAACTAGAATACTGTGCCTCAACTAAAATTATTTATTATATTATGCAGTTAGTTTTCTGAAGCACTGTTCATGTGTCTACATTGCAGTCAGCAGGGCAGCAAAGAGCTATCTGGTCAAGCTTAAAGAACCTAGACTAGGGATGAAAAGTGATTTAGTTCTGCTTACCTATGGCAACACATCCCAGCTCTCCATGGCCTCCTGCTTCCGGCCTTATTTTCAAACTAGACTTGTACAGCAAAGCCGTACCAAGTAGGTTGCATGAAAACTGTTTCCTATGTGGCTATCACCTCTGTTTCTCAGAAGTAAAGTCAGCTCTGAGTCTCATGCTGGTAACAAGATTACTGCCACCAACACTTAGTTGCTCGCTGGTTAGTTCTGGTATCTTTATGCAACACTCTGCACTTTGCACACATTCTATGACCAGCCCTTCTCACAAACAAGGCTATCCATGAGCATTGTAAAATCATTCTTTTCCTTGCTCGGGGGGGAAGCTGGGGGCAAGGAGGGAGGGGAATAAAAAATGAAAGCAACAGAAATTACTTTGAAAAATGAAACTCTTCAGACTTATGGAAACCAAGTATCAGAAAAGGAAGTGGAAACTGAAACAGAAACTTGTCCAGTCAATGACTTGGCACGTTTTGAAAAGCAGATTTTAAAGGGGAAGCTCCCTCTTCAGGAAGCCAAATGTTTGCAAAACACTTGCATTGGTTATTTAAATAGTAAACCCAGAACAATCGTTATTTAAAAATAACATCAACAGAAGAACAGGAACATGGAAATATGCAGCCAGAAGGATGATCTCGCTTCAGTCCCCTGCAAATCGAAAGTGACCATATGAGTGAAGGGTTTGTTCCAAAAGTCCAGAGGCTATTTTGCTTAGCAAACCCACCCCATCTGCTCAGCAACACTGCAAACTGTAGAATCGTTCCTGCTGCCCTGCAAGTAAACCAAACACCTGTGAGGAGTCAGAAACACAGTCACTATCAGAGTGTGGCACCAGAAGAAAGCAGAAAAGGTTCAAGGTATCTCCAGTATACAAGATTACTGGAAACTGAAATAAATTCTTTTTAAAGTTATCCTGCAGGCTGCCAGTTCTTGAAAACTTATGGCTGGGAAATGAAGTGCAGAGTACAGAGTCTGAAGTGTGTCTGCACAGATAGCATGACAAGCATACTAAAGTGTGAGAGAGCTGTAGGCTCATTTCCTGTATGGGGAAGAGGGAGGGAAAACAATACAAACAAATTTAAGAGAAAAATAGAACTGTACTGGGAAAAGCCCAGTTCGATGTTTTTCTTGTTTTTAGGGAAGATACAACCTCAAAACTCACATTTCTCTGTTACTGTTTGTCAATACTTTGACTTTGGACTTCAAAGGAAAACTTGCATTCCTG